TTGTAAGCCAGTGAAATCGTCTCAGGTTACTACTGTAACCATAGTTCCCTGAGAAAGGGAACGAGACGATGCGTCATCGACGCTTTGGGAACGCCCCCAGCGTGAATGCGTCTGAGCATCAATGTCAACTAGTCCAATGGAAAGAATGAGCGTCACGGGCGGGTGACGTCATGACCAGGAAGGCATAAGAGCACATCCGGTGAAATGCGGCATTAGCTTCAAAAGTCGAAGCAAGCCGATCACAGGGATGCAGGAAGTATGGCAGGGTGACGCATCATCTCGTTCCCTTTCTCAGGGAACTATGGTTACAGTAGTAACCTGAGACGTTCCCTTTCGAGGGAACTCGCGATGCGTCATCGACGCTTTGGGAACGAGAATACCCAAAACGCCAGAATTCCAAGTACCTGAGTGTCAGTCTGTTGGAACTAAGCACTAAGCACCTGAGAACCTGGGGCAGCATCCAGGTCCAAACTGTAAAACCTGACGAATGTGAGCGGTGAGGACCAGCCTGCCGCATCACAAACGTCTTGGAGAGAAACCCCAAATAACAAGGCTTTAGAGGCCGCCATACCCCTCGTAGAGTGAGCTCTGACCACCAAGGGACACGGATGGTCAGAGTACTCGTATGCAAGTGAAATAGCCTCGACTATCCACTTACTAACCGTCTGTTTAGAAGCAGGAAGACCCTTCTTAGGTGATCCAAAGCAAATAAATAACTGGTCGGACTTCCTCATTGAAGATGTCCGATGAACATAAGTATCCAGTGCTCACACTGGACACAAGAGGCTCAGCCTTTCCTGGTCCGCAGATGTAAAAGGAGGAGGACAGAAAGCCTGCAGCACAATAGGCCTCGGAATCAAGGTCGGCACCTTAGGGACGTATCCCTGTTTCGGATATAAGAATGCCTTGACCATCCCCGGTGCAAACTCAAGGCAGGTGGGGGAAACCGAAAGGGCCTGAAGGTCTCCAACTCTCTTAAGGGAAGAAATAGCTAGCAGAAAGATAGTCTTGAGGGTAAGAAATTTCTCTGAAACCGAATCTAAGGGCTCGAACGGAGCCCTAGACAGGCCTTCTAGTACTATAGCAAGATCCCAAGCTGGCACCTTAGTGCGAGTTGCAGGCCTCAGCCTCAATGTGCCACGAAGGAAACGTGTAATCAGGGGGTCTCGACCCAACGATGTACCCCCCACCAGGGCGTGGTAAGCCGCAATGGCCGCCACGTAGACCTTGAGCGTGGAAGGACATAGACCTTACGTAAAGCGCTCCTGCAGGAACTCGAGTACTGTGTTCACAGAACAGTTAACCGGATCCCACTGATGTCGGTGACACCATACAGAAAAAACTCTCCATTTAAGCGCATAAAGTTTCCTAGTAGCTGGAGCTCTGGAGCTTAGGATGGTCTCAGCAGCCTCAGCTGAGAGACCACTCTCTATGAGTTGGGCCCCCTCAGAGGCCAAACCCACAGGTTCCAAATCTCTGGTCGAGGGTGAAATATTGTGCCCCCGGCCTGAGACAGAAGGTCTCTCCTGATCGGGATCTCCAAGGGAGGACCGTCTAAGAGATGGATCAGGTCCGCAAACCAGATCCGACTCGGCCAGCGTGGTGCTACAAGCAGTAGGCTTATTCCGTACTGGCGGACTCGCTCCAGAACTCCTGGGAGCAGAGCAACAGGGGGAAATGCGTACAGACGTAGCCTCGGCCACGTCTGCACCATAGCATCCAGCCCCAGGGGGGCTGGGTGAGTAAGGGAGAACCAAAGTGGACAGTGCGTCGTATGCTGAGACGCAAACAGATCCACCTCTGCTTGGCCGTAAAACTCCCAAATTTTCTCCACCGCCTCGGGGTGGAGTCTCCAGTCCCCTGGCCTCAGCCCCTGCCTCGACAGGATGTCTGCCCCCATATTCTGGTCCCCAGGAATATACACTGCCCTCAGGGAGAGTACTTTCCCCAGAGACCACAGGAGGATCTGGTGCGCCAGTTTGCAAAGCGGACGCGACCGCAGACCCCCCTGACGGTTCAGATAAGAGACCACTGATGTGTTGTCTGTTCGTACAAGCACATGATGGCCCCTCAGGTCTGGGAGAAACTGTCTCAACGCATTGAAGACAGCCATCATCTCCAGGCAATTGATGTGCCACGAAAGATGATGACTTTTCCACAGACCCTGAACCGAGCGGCCTTCCATTACCGCTCCCCAGCCGGTGAGGGAAGCATCTGTCGAGATCGTAACACGATGGCAAAGAGCTCCCAATACCGGACCCTGGGTTAAGAACCAATGTTTCCTCCATATAATTAAGGCACGAAGGCACCGCCGCGTGACCTTGATCATGCGAAGTGGGTTTCCCCTCGGGGAGAACCCTCTGGTCCTTAGCCACCACTGTAAAGGTCTCATGTACAGGAGGCCAAAAGGTATCACGTTGGACGCTGCCGCCAAGAGACCCAACAGTCTCTCAAACTGTTTCACAGTGCGTGACTGGCCTAGCTTTAGCTCTTTGGTGGCTGTCAGGATAGCAGCTACACGAACGGGCGATAGAGTGGCCCGCATCGTCACTGAATCCCATACCACACCAAGGAAAGTGGTTCTCTGTACTGGAGAAAGAACACTCTTCTTGGCATTGAGCCTCAACCCCAACATCTGCACATGAGCGAGAACGACACCTCGGTGCCGAACCGCCAACTGCTCTGATTCCGCCAGAATCAGCCAGTCGTCGATGTAGTTCAGAATACGTATGCCCTGAAGCCTGAGAGGGGCTAGAGCTGCATCCACGCATTTCGTGAACGTGCGGGGTGATAAAGCTAGACCGAAAGGAAGAACCCGATATTGGTATTCTTTGCCCCCGAAAGAAAACCTTAGGAACTTCCTGTGCTGAGGGAGGATGGAGATATGGAAGTAGGCGTCCTTCAGATCTATCGTGACAAACCAGTCCTCGGATCTGATTTGAGTCACGATCTGTTTGAGTGTCAGCATCTTGAACTTGAGTTTCTGTACTGAACGATTCAACAGACGAAGATCTAAAATGGGACGCAACCCCCCATCCTTTTTTGGAACAATGAAATAACGGCTGTAAAAACCCGACTCTCTGTCGGGTGAGAACACCTGTTCTATAGCTTCCTTTGCTAACAGGGCCTTTACCTCTTGATCCTGATCCCTGCGGATCGCGAGCCTGCCTACTCTCTTTATCAAAGAGTGACAGGCGAGAGCGGAGCATGCGAAGCGGTAGCATCTCACAATGCTGGCACTCAGCCCCCTCGAAGGCTGAGACCGCATGCTCCACTCCCAAACAAATGACACAAAGCTCGTGTGTGTCCCCACCCGTTAAATAACGCGGGCAGGGAGAAGCACACTGTTTGTACACTTGTTTAGTTTCCATCCTTTTCCGCAACAGACAACAGTCAAGTCAAGTCAAGTCACATTTATTTATATAGCGCTTTTCACAATACAGATTGCATCAAAGCAGCTTCACAGTGATAACATGAAAGTAGTACAACAGTAAATAGACAGAGACAAAATGACACAGATCGCTTGCTGAGACACAGAAGCTAATGCCGCGTTTCACCGGATGTGCTCTTATGCCTTCCTGGTCATGACGTCACCCGCCCGTGACGCTCATTCTTTCCATTGGACTAGTTGACATTGATGCTCAGACGCATTCACGCTGGGGGCGTTCCCAAAGCGTCGATGACGCATCGCGAGTTCCCTCGAAAGGGAACAGGTAAGTTTTTAACTTAGATTTAAACACAGACTCTGTGGATATTAGTCTTAAAGATACAGGTAGACTATTCCATAGTTTTGGACCAACAACAGAAAATGCACGGTCACCTCTCGTCTTCAGTCTTGATCTTGGAACCAGCAACAATCTTTGTTGAGATGACCTCAATGATCTAGAACAGTCGTTTAATTTCAAAAGATCAGAGAGATAGTTTGGAGCTAATTTGTTTATGGCTTTAAAAACAAAAAGCAGAATTTTAAAATCAACTCTATAACAAACTGGCAGCCAGTGCAACGAACGCAGTATTGGGGTAACATGATCAAACTTCCTCGTGCCAGTCAAAAGTCTGGCCGCTGCATTCTGAACCATCTGAAGACGACTAATATTGGATTGACTCATTCCAATATAAAGAGAATTACAATAGTCGAGTCTAGATGAAATGAACAAATGATTCACTCTCTCGAACTCTGCAAATGTTAAAAAACTCTTAGCCTTAGATAATAGTCTTAATTGGAAGAAACTAGATTTGACTACGGCACTTATCTGTTTGTCAAATTTAAGAGCAGAATCAAAAATAACACCCAAGTTTGTCACTGAGTGTTTTACATAGGGGGCCAAATCTCCCAGGTCACCATCGGGAGTAATAGAAACACCTGAGGTACCAAAAACGATAACTTCAGTTTTGCTCTCGTTTAGATGCAGAAAATTTGAGGAAAACCAGGACTTAACATCAGACACACACGCTGATAATAAGCTTAGGCCCTTTTCATCATTTTTCTTTAGAGGCAGATAAATCTGGGTGTCATCAGCATAAAAATGGAATGACACCCCATGTTTAGAGAAGATAGTCCCCAAAGGAAGCAAATACAACGAGAACAGAGCTGGCGACAGAATGGAGCCCTGAGGGACTCCATAATCCAAAACGTTGTATGGAATTACAAACCTGCGCACATATTTTCAAAAGCACATAACTATAGAATCAATTCTGAATGTGCATGTGAACGCCGTCAGCGTTAATCACAGGTTCGCGTTTAAAGTCTGATCATTTCGACGGAGGTGAATCAATCAAAATTAACTTTAGCTGGAAATAACATTATTCAATAACCGCTATAAAGCCAAAACAATCTCTGTTACCTTAAATTATATGTTTATCTCTGTAAAGCTGCTTTGAAACAATCCATTGTTAAAAGCACTAAATAAATGAAGATGACTTGACTTGACTTGACTCCCTCGCCCTTGCCCTTCGGGGAGTTCTCTTCACAATGGTGGGCACGATGGTGGGCTGCCGTTATGCGAGCAGAAGTCGCAGCCCTACTGGTGAAGGGTGCAATCGAGCTGGTCCCTCCAGCCGAGATGAAGTGCGGGTTCTACAGCCACTACTTCATTGTACCCAAGAAAAGCGGTGGGTTACAACCAATCCTGGACTTGCGTTCCTTAAACCGGGCCCTTCTCAGGCTCCCGTTCAAGATGTTGACGTCCAAACACATTTTCGAATGTTTTCGTCCTCTGGATTGGTTTGCAGCGATCGACCGCAAGGACGCGTACTTTCATGTCTCCATTCTCCCTCGACACAGACCGTTTCTACGCTTTGCTTTCAAGGGGCGGGCATACCAGTACACGGTCCTTCCATTCGGGTTGTCCCTGTCGCCCAGCGTTTTTACCAAGGTCGTGGAGGCGGCTCTTGCTCCTCTCATCATCATCATCATCATCACTTTATTTATAAAGCGCTTTCACATCAGCAGCAGCTGAACAAAGTGCTGTACATAAAGGCAGCAAAACATCAACCTAGACAAAAATAACAGTCACAATATCATAAAATAATAAACTGGGGTTGAAAATCTATAAAACTATATCAAAATAAAACAGTTAAGAGCAAATACTAGCAGATAGGATCAAGTCTCAATTTGGGTTGAAGGCCAAAGTGTAGAAGTGAGTTTTAAGAAGAGTTTGAAAAATCGGTATTGAGGAAGCCTGACGAATGGTCAAAGGTAAGGCATTCCATAATTTAGGAGCACAAACAGAGAAGGCCCTGTCTCCTCTGAGCTTCCGCTTGGAACCGGGGACGACCAGGAGCAACTGGTCAGCCGACCGGAGTGACCGGGAGGGAGTGTAGCGGTTGAGTAGCTGAGTTAAATAAGACGGGGCAAGACCATTTAAAACTTTAAATGTAAACAAGAGGATTTTAAAATGGACTCTAAAATGCACAGGCAGCCAGTGAAGTGAAGCCAGGACGGGAGTGATGTGTTCTCTCTTCCGGGTTCCAGTCAAAACCCGTGCAGCAGCATTCTGGACTAGCTGCAGACGTGCGAGTAGGGATTGACTGAGTCCAAAATAAAGGGAATTACAGTAATCCAACCGTAAAGAAATAAAGGCATGGATTACGGTTTCTAACTGCTGCCTGGAAAGGAAAGGTTTCACCTTTACCAGCTTCCTTAGATGAAAAAAACTTAATTTGACTGTGGCATTGATTTGGCTATCCAGTTTAAAATCACTGTCCAGTCTAAAACCAAGATTTAAAACTGTCGGTTTAAGATACGAGGCTAGAGGACCCAGCTCAACAGGGGGGTCTCATATGAGCCACCAGGTCCAAACATTATCACCTCTGTTTTCTTTTCATTAAAATTTTAAAAGTTTAAGGCCATCCATGCTTTAATATCCTCCAGACATGCTAAAAGAGGTGTAATAGAACAGGTGTCATGTCGCTTTAAGGGTAGATAAATCTGGCAGTCGTCTGCATAACAATGGAAAGAAATACCATGGAGGAAATACCTCTCAGGGAACAAGGTTTTCGTATTCTCAACTACCTCGACGACTAGCTGATTCTAACCTGGTGCTCGGGCACCTCTGCCATCTGAGCCTTCGGGTCAACTGGGAAAAAAGCAATCTCTCCCCCATGCAGAGGATCTCTTTTCTCGGTATGGAGATAGACTCGGTTAGTCAATGCTGAATTGCCTGAGTCAAATCAAGAGCAAGATGGCGGTTCCACTGAAACTCTTTCAAAGGCTCCTGGGCATATGGCATCCGCAGCGACAGTCATGCCGCTTGGATTACTTCATATGAGACCGCTTCAGCACTGACTTCATGATCGAGTCCCGAGATAGGCATGGCAACAGGGCACGCTCAAAGTGGCAATCACTTCGGCCTGCCGTCAGACCTTCTCCCCTTGGTCCGACCTCTCCTTTCTACGGGCAGGAGTTCCCCTAGAACGAGTGTCCAGGCATGTTGTTGTCTCAACAGATGCCTCCGCCACGGGCTGGGGTGCCATGTGCAACTGACATGCTGCGTCGGGCTCCTGGACAGGACCCCAACTTCAGTGGCATGTCAATTGCCTCGAGTAGCTAGCAGTACGCTTTGCTCTGCACCGCTTCAGGGCCCTGCTGAGGGGCAAGCATGTACTGCTCCGGACAGACAACACTGCGACCGTAGCGTACATCAACCGTCAGGGTGGTCTACGCTCCCTCTGCATGTCGCAACTCGCCCGCCATCTCCTTATGGAGCCAGAAGCATCTGAGGTCGCTTCGTGCCATTCATATCCTAGGCGAGCTGAATCGTGCAGCCGACGAGCTCCATCTCCAGTCGGTTCAGCTGATTTGGACCTTTCCAAACACTTCCCACTGCCAGTGGTTTTATTCCCTGAGCAATGAGCAATGGGACCCTCGGCACGGATGCCCTGGTGCACAGCTGGCCACGGGGCCTTCGCAAGTATGCATTTCCCCCAGTGAGCCTACTTGCACAGACTTTGTGCAAGATCAGGGAGGACGACTACGCCTGACCCCGCTGACTGACCCCGCTGGTTCGGTTCCTGGGAGCCTAACTAGAGCTTCCCAGCCCGTCACGCTGACTCACTGAACGATCAGGCTCGGCTATGCGATCCTGAAAAAGGACCTCCTTTCTCAGAGAGGGGGTACCCTTTGGCACCCGTGTCCCGATCTGTGGAACCTGGACGTGTGGGTCCTGGACGGGATGCGGAAGGTTTAGGTACCTTAACCGAACAGCTTTGGAGTCATTGTAATGTTTATATTACTGATTTCGTGTTGAATGGTGGTCGTCTCGCACCCCCCTGGTGCCTGTGAGCCGCAAAACCACCCTTGCAACTTTGGGCCGGCGAGCCGCTCAGTGTTAGGAAGTATCGTGTGATATCAGGTCTCGCGAGGTAACGAATTGCTTTACGGCAAAAAACAGATCTGATAAAATTCTGATAAAATGAGCATCAGACAGAAATAACCCAGCGCAGTATACATGTGGTGTTTGAGGCGCACATACACTACAGACTGCCGACAGATAAACAGGGCGCGCGCAGCTCTTAAAGGGGCCACACCTTATTTCCACTCGTTACAGCGTCCATCCTACTGAACAGGTACCGGTGTACAGGGGGAGGGGATCCGGCCGTGAGTGCGAGCCATCTCTGCGTGAGTGCTATTCACGACAGTACAAGTACCCCACAGCGACTCTAGGGGTCGCTGTTTGACAAAAACGGAATTCCTACTTAGTGCTGCTTTAAGCAGCGAGTTATGTCGTTGTACGGGAAACACACCCCTGAGCAGTTGAAGTAAAACCACACTTTTTCAAGGGCGCACATTTATTGCATGGAAAGAGCAAACGCATAAACGGGGTCTAAAATGCATGTGTACAGTTCCGATGAATCATGAATGATAAATGAAATTTAACTTAATGTCGTTAAACTGAATGTACGAAGGAAACTGCTGAAATAACTACAACATTAATAAACTGAAATAAGAGCGCATGGTTTATCTATCTATCAATCAGATGAGCATTAAAGTTGCATTTGTTACTATAGCAAAAGTAGACACCCGGCGGGGTTTCTTTGAGAATCATTAGGAAAATGTTCCGTATAAAGAGAACAAAGAGGGCTTTTCTTACTATTCCATGAGGACAAGATAGTTTAGGGGTAGTGGGGAAAGTGCATGATATTTGTAGGTAGTCTCTCCATGGAAGCATGTTTAATGTACCAGGAACACTTTAATAAGGTTGTGTATCCATTAACCCTGTCCTACACTATAGTTAGCATGAACTAACAATACTTTTAAAGCCTTTTTTAAATCTTGGCTTATGTAAATGTATGAAAAAAATGTGTATATGCTATTAAAATAAAGTAAATATTAATAGCATCATTAAAAACTAAAATGAACTAACATTAACAATGGACAAAATGTTGTTGTTGTTGTTTGTCCCCACTCTCTGACCCCTGAAGGCCGCTGTGTAATTCACACCCTAAGACACATTAGGGGAAGCATTGCAATAATCATATGAATGCATTTAAAAAAAATGCAAAATCGAATCGAATTAATCGAGTCACATCGAATTTTAATGTGAATCTTCTTGAATCAAATTGTTCTTGAATCGATTTGAAAACCCATTAATCGTGAATCGAATCAATACACTGTCTACCCAAAGATTCCCAGCCCTAGTAATAAGTGAAGCCGGTAATAAGTGTCCTGCCATGCTTTTCACCTTTTGTTTTACATTCTGTGGACATAGAGTACAGTGATGTGCGTGTCCCTGTTGTATCTGTAACCATGACTGCAGGACGAATCAGCATGAGGATTGGGTGACACATGATAACCGAGTGGCGAATCTCTCCGAGTCTTCATCACTGTCCTCCTCGACACATGAGCAAGACGACGGCAGATCGTTGAGAAAAAGAGAAGATATCTGGACCTGACAACTCAAAATATGGAGAGACAATTCTTTATGATGTAAAAAAGTTTAAGAAAAGTGAAGGTAAGGCTTTATGCAGTCAAGGGTTAATTAAGTGTGAAATTATTAGATAATTCATAAAATGTATTTATGTTTTAAAAACCTGATCTGTATAAACCGGAAGATGCAATTTAGTACGATATAATTAAAAAAAAATTTTTTTTTACAAAGTTACAGATTATCGCTTAAACTAGATTTAAGTACATTTAATTGTATATTATATATTTGTCTTTAACAGTTTAATAAATCACTTTCTGATTTAGCGATATATTGAGATCTATTCAAACTGATCAATTCTGAAGCTTCATTAATATTTGACTGAATGCAGATTTCTGTTTTAAAGCTCTAACAAAATATGAAATTATGTAAAATAGCTTACTTTCTCTACAGAGAAAAGAGGCGAAAAATCCCGGAGAATTATCATGCAGAAACACTCCTCGAAAATGTCAAAGGATATCATGAAGGCAAGTGAAGCATTAAAGGGCTAAACACACACACACACACACACACATAGATGACATCCCAGTCATCAGAATTCTGGATAATTTGTCACAGTCTTCTAAATAACTGGTTCTACATTACTGATTGCCATCACTATTAACTAACATGATTTTTTTCCCCCAGTTTTTTTAAAATCAATATTTATTTTATTTGATCAACATTTAAACTCACCAGAAATGTTGAACATGACCTAAAGTGTGTGCATATTTGTTCGGGAATTTTTTTACAAGAACATTTTACCAATTCCATTCCACACCAATCTTAATAATTAAGACTATACAATTAATTATAGGTTATATGTAATTGATGAATGGCCTTACACGTAAAACACCATTTCATTAACAAAATACTATCATTAAACATCATCATTGATAAATAATCTCAGCTTTCCATGTTCTAGCTTGCTGTACTATTCAGGGCTGCGTGCGTTTCATCCATTACCTCACAGATTAATACCACAGCTATGATGCATTGTTGGAGAAACTAACCAACTACTATTACAAACTTTTCCTGAAACCATAGTGACAACTCACTCGATCGAGCCATATTGGTTCAACAATAGACTCATTTGAGATAAGTATTGCCAGGTTTCTCTTAAACAATACGTGACCTGAGAGGCGTTTCCCAAAGCCAACCAGCGCCGTTGTTACCAACACAATTCAACAGAACTGGTTACTATAGTTGGCTAAGGATGGTTTTGGGAAACTCACACTGGGTCTGAAAAAGCAAGCCCAAAATACTGTAAGTTGATGTTTCGTGGAGTGGGGCATGCGCACATAACAACAGATACACTCTTTCTCTCATGCATTATGTGGGCAATTAAAGCAATTTATGAACAGAAGTGGTGTTTATAAATGTTTACAATAACTTTATTAATTACTTTTTATTCTTAAATAGGAAAAGGAGTTTTCGCTCCTTGAAAACTGTATAAAGTCATCACATAAATGTGTGGAGAGCATGGAGAGCTTAGAGATTGAAAGCTTAGCATCTACACCACACTATCATTACCAAATGAATCCCCCAAAGGCAACACGGGTTAACTCACTGAGAATAAGCAGGAGACATAGGTATACAATTATAGGAAAACACTAACCAACTACTATTACAAACTTTTCCTGAAACCATAGTGACATGACGCCTCACTCATTCGAGCCATGTTGGTTCAACAATAGACTCATTTGAGATAAGTATTGCCAGGTTTCTCTTAAACAATACGTGACCTGAGAGGCGTTTCCCAAAGCCAACCAGCGCCGTTGTTACCAACACAATTCAACAGGTTACTATAGTTGGCTAAGGATGGTTTTGGGAAACTCACACTATACAGAGATAACACCTACTGCAAGACATGCACATTTCCTAGTGAAATTGTTTGATCATAATAATTAGGGGAAATTTCTGTAAAAGTTTTTTAAATGACAAAATTTTACTTTACTTAATTTGACATTTTTACAGTATAAGGAAATATACTATTTTGGATGCAAAATCGTTGCTCACTCTCTCTCCTACCCCATCATGAGTGGACACGCCCCCTGCTGATGATTGGATCACTCTCCTCCCCCATCATGAGTGGACACGCCCCCTACTGCTGATTGGCTCACTCTCTCTCCTCCCCCATCATGAGTGGACACGCCCCCTGCTGATGATTGGATCACTCTCCTCCCCCATCATGAGTGGACACGCCCCCTTCTGCTGATTGGATCACTCTCCTCCCCCATCATGAGTGGACATGCCCCCTGCTGATGATTGGATCACTCTCCTCCCCCATCATTAGTGGACACACCCCCTACTGCTGATTGGATCACTCTCTCTTCTCCCCCATCATGAGTGGACACGCCCCCTGCTGATGATTGAATCACTCTCCTCCCCCATCATGAGTGGACATGCCCCCTACTGCTGATTGGATCACTCTCTCTCCTCCCCCATCATGAGTGGACACGCCTCCTACTGCTGATTGGATCACTCTCTCTCCTCCCCCATCATGAGTGGACACGCCTACTACTGCTGATTGGCTCACTGTCTCTCCTCCCCCATCATGAGTGGACACGCCCCCTACTGCTGATTGTCTCTCTCTCTCCTCCCCCATCATGAGTGGACACGCCCCCTACTGCTGATTGGATCACTCTCTCTCCCATCATGAGTGGACACGCCCCCTACTGCTGATTGTCTCTCTCTCTCTCCTCCCCCATCATGAGTGGACACGCCCCCTACTGCTGATTGGATCACTCTCTCTCCCCCATCATGAGTGGACACGCCTCCTACTGCTGATTGGCTCTCTCTCCTCCCCCGTCATGTGTGGATACGCCCCCTACTGCTGATTGGATCTTTTTCTCTGCCACATCATGTGTGGACACGCCCCCTACTGCTGATTGGATCACTCTCCTCCCCCATCATGAGTGGACACGCCCCCTACTGCTGATTGGATCACTCTCTCTCCCCCATCATGAGTGGACACGCCTCCTACTGCTGATTGGCTCTCTCTCCTCCCCCGTCATGTGTGGACACGCCCCCTACTGCTGATTGGATCTCTTTCTCTCCCCCATCATGTGTGGACACGCCCCCTACCGCTGATTGGATCACTTTCTCTTCCCCATCATGAGTGGACACGCCCCCTACTGCTGATTGGATCACTCTCTCTCCCCCATCATGAGTGGACACGCCCCCTACTGCTGATTGGATCGCTTTCTCTTCCCCATCATGAGTGGACACGCCCCCTACTGCTGATTGGATCGCTTTCTCTTCCCCATCATGAGTGGACACGCCCCCTACTGCTGATTGGATCACTCTCTCTCCCCCATCATGTGTGGACACGCCCCCTACCGCTGATTGGATCACTCTCTCTCCCCCATCATGTGTGGACACGCCCCTACTGCTGATTGGATCGCTTTCTCTTCCCCATCATGAGTGGACACGCCCCCTACTGCTGACTGACTACAAGTGTGTTGTGCTGCTCGGTCCATTCCACTTTCAACTGCGTTTCTCAGAAATCGCTTACTGCACCTTTAAATTGCAGTCTTTTGCAATTTTATAATAACCATTTCATATTTAGTTCGTTCGATTGACATGCTTTGTCAAAGCAATAGCGCATTCACAATGTTAGATGTCTTTTATATTATGAGAGTGTAAAAATATTTTTGTTTCATTGTAGATTTTCAACGACCCCATTCATGGCCACATTGAGCTGCACCCCCTGCTGGTGAAGATCATTGACACTCCTCAGTTTCAGAGACTCCGACACCTCAAACAGCTCGGAACAAAATATCTGGTGTATCCAGGCGCCACTCACACGCGCTTCGAACACTCACTTGGGTAATTTAATTTTGAAATGTTCTTTTCTCATCTTGTCCCCAAACAAGAATCACTGAATCCCAGAATGCAACTTGTAAACTAAAAAGAAAAAAGAAAAAATTAAAGTTACTCTCTTAGTTCATTATGTGTGTGTCTGTGTAGGCCTGATTGTAATATAAAAAAAGAAAAAAAGCTTCCTTAGACAGGAAAAGCCCCAGTGTTAAGTTACTTGTTTGCTGTGTAGTGTTTATTCAAGATTTATAGAAAGATTTAGTCATGTGGGGCTTGTGCTGAAAAATTAGGCAATTCGATAATGCAAGCTGAAGTAATAATATATATAAAAAAAACGTTTTGACTGACATTTAGCCAATCACAGCCTAGATCAGGCCTGACAACCTTTGTGAGGTAGGTGCCATCAATATATTGTTCCTTTTTGAGTTGTGTCATGTACTGATAAATACGTTTTTTTATTTATTAAATGAATGCCAAAAGTTTAAAATAATTGTATTTAATGATAAGTATTGTAATTAAATCATGCTTTTTTTTCTTGCTTTTTTTAACAATACAAATATGTAAATGTGAGTTGTGGTCACCAGCGTGTTTGGGTTTTTTTTTTTTCTCTGTAAAACATTGTCCCGCAAACAAATTAATGGCATAAATATTATGCACTAAATTAAAACACGAGGTAACTCATTTCATTTGAGAAAATCGACTGCCTTAAACTGACCGGCTGCCATTTAAATTTATAAACTAATATTTATAATTTGCTAATAATGTGAGTATGTTATTACTGTGAAGTTATTTAATTTAGGTAGACTAAGGATGTTCACTGGATCAGCAACTACACAGTCACCGCCAGTTAAATAAAGCAACATGCAGAATATCATCAATGTTTCTTGGTCTTCTCGTGGACTGAAGCACAGGCTCTACTCTTCAGCACAATGGTGACCTGCAAAACTGTTTTTTAACTTACAGTTTATTGCTGTTAAAATACATTTCATAGGTGTGTCTTTTTTATATTATACCGTTAACCCTTTCAACCCCACAGGAAAATCCTGTAGTGTCCACACTATAAAGAGTAAAAGTGACATTGCTGCAGTGTTGCAGTCAAGTCAAGTCACATTTATTTATATAGCACTTTTCACAATACAGATTGCATCAAAGCAGCTTCACAGTGATAACATGAAAGTAGTACAACACAGTTCAATAATATTGTTGAATATTAAATATCCCCAACTAAGCAAGCCAAAAGCAAGGCGACAGTGGCAAGGAACCAAAACTCCATCAGATTGGATGGAGAAAAAAACCTTGGGAGAACCCAGGCTAGTCAGGGGCCAGTTCTCCTCTGGCTAACAATCATAGGGTTTTAAAGAAGCTTTACAGTAAGTGCATATCAGAGAGTACCTGGAAAAAATACATTTAGTTAATCATGTAATATTTAGGGGATAACATATCGCCGGCGTTGAGTCGTCTCTTCGCAGGCGTTGAGTCGTCTCTTCACAGGCGTTGGTCTTCTCATCACAGGCGTTGAGGCATCCGAAATCCCCGTGAGAGGCAGGATACCAAACTGGAAACTACGAACGCAGTGAGATAATTAAGTGAATACGTAAGTGATTGTTGAGCATTAATGATGAACACCTGCTGTTAACAAGCAGAATCACTGAAGGAAAGAAGAACAACAAGAACAGAAAAAAGAGATGAGACTAGCAGAAACACAAGAACGTCTCTTCCTGTTGATGCAGCAAAAATCACAGTTATTTGTTTTCAAAGGAAGCGAAGTAATAAATAGGTTGCTTTTAAAAGGTGACCTGATTTCTAACTAAATCAGTAACTAGCCATTTTTTTTCATATTGAATAATGATCTTTAAAAAAAATAAAAAATTGGCAACGCTTATGTCATAGACACCTTGTGAAACTTTTAATTGGGTTGATATAATCCCTCTATATTTGACAATATCTTGCAATTGATCATGCTTGAGTCACACACAGACTTCAACATTCAGCATGCAAACCACAACAGTGGTGACAACAATGGTAGCTATAATAAGTCAAGAGTAAATCTAAAGTAAAATATCAAGTACTCTCAGTTATTTTTAGTTACTAGAACTCTTGTGTAAGTGAATTATAATAACTAATCATTTGTCAGTTCAACAAACCATTCCTATTTCACTTATGTTTTTTAAGGCAATCAGTTTGCATGCTCTTTTAAGTAAGACTAACTAATTAGATTTTACAGTGTAGGTAAAATTATCTTCCTATTTATAAGACAGGTTTTGAGCTGTCCAGTGGGTTGTGTGAAAGATTTGCCTGCATTGTGGAGAAGCCTTCTATTGGCTTTCTTAAAGGAGACATACTATGAAAATCTGACTTTTTCCGTGTTTAAGTGCTATAATCGGGTCCCCGGTGCTTCTACCAACCCAGTAACTGTGTTCTGGTGAGTCTTTCTCTGAGAGCATGTCTAAAATAAGCCGATTAGATTTCGCTCCTTCTGCCGTATGAAGAGGATCTTATTATAATATTCCCGGCCCTTAATCTGCACGCTTACACACACCAGCGACATTGGGTTCGGCGAGCGCCAACAGAGACCAGTTCTAACGCACTGGAGAAGATCCAGCAAAGCCTGAAACTGTTCTGTGGTCGAGCACAGACGACACTGAACACTATTGACATGTCACCGCTGTCTTATAAACACCTCAGGAACTGTGGACACTTGTGGAAGAGTTCAACATGATGAGGAGATGATCAGTGTAACTCCACAACAACTATAGAAATGTCTTCAGTAACCATTTAGAAAAGTCCAGGTTCAGTCTAAAAGTTGCAACCTCTTCCTGAAGCCTCGGCTTTACTCCAGTTTGGACGCACGCACGTGCAGCTGCGGACAGCACAGACGTGGACTACTTGTATTTTTTACTCGGACGTGGAAAGTATAACACTAGCTTTACGGAGAGTCTAATGCTACTGTTATACTTTCCACGAGGGTCCGCTAGGGTCCACGTGACCTAAAAATCGTCATCGGAGGGTGTTCGCAGAGGCTCTTTGTGGACATCTGCGTGCCTCCTGTTTTGTCCGCGCGGTCACTAGGCTGCAAAAGTGTACACGCCGATCTACTGCTCATGTGCAGAACACGTCCGTCGAGCGGACCCCAGCATACACTTTTTAGTAGTATAAATACAAGTAGTCCGCGTCCGTGCTGTCCGCAGCTGTCCGTGTATGCGTCCAAACTGGAGTGTAACCGAGGCCTGAGGCTGCACTCCGCTACTGGTTATTTCTGAGATTTTGGATGAGTATCAAGATTCGCGTGTTTTGTTATTGTATCCAAAGCTTGTGTAAAGGATCGCCCGTCTTGAACGGAGGCGGAGCAGCAGCTCATTTGCATTTAAAGGGACACCGGGCAAAGGGGCAAATTTGACAAGCTATAATAAATAATCTGGGGGGTATTTTGAGCTGAAATTTAACAGACACATTCTGAGGACACCCTAGATTTATATTACATCTTGTGAAAAGGGGCATAACATGACACCTTTAAAACTTCAATAGAGTTCTGCTTCTCACATACATAAAACTGGCTGGGAGGATGAATGTTATTTGACATGCTGAACCCTTGCCAATGAAACAGCTAATGTATATCAATGAAACAAGTAATGCAAAGGCTAGACCTTTATTTCTTTAATAAATGATTTGTGTGTGTGTGTGTGTGTGTGTGTTAGTGTGGCATTTTTAGCAGGATGTATGGTCAAGAATCTACATGAGAATCAGCCAGAGCTCAACATTACCAAACAGGATTTCCTATGTGTCCAAATTGCTGGTCTGTGTCATGACTTGGGTGAGTAGCACTTACGTGAACACTTATCTACTTACATGATGTATATCTAGTATTTGACCCAAGTGTTCAAATGGGAGTGAAGACGGCAAGTGTGCGTGCAAATGATAGAAAAGAAGTGGTCAAAGATTTCTATGTTCATGAAGCAAAACCACTTTCAGAGTGAATGGCCCCTTGATCACCACTGCTGCTATTTGATGGAAAATACGAAAACATAGTTACTTTAAAAAAGCTAGCTGAAATGCCAGTTATGTAGTTATACTTTTAGCGCTACTACTTATAGTTAAATACTCAAGACTGGCCAGTTATATGGCCACGGAATATGACAGCTCCTTCATTTAAGGGTTTATGGTAAACCATATTTTTTGAAAGATTGGCAGTGTATCAGTCATGGACTGTAACAAACCCTTTAAAAAGACATTGTAAATACAGCTCTACAGATTTCTCTCACTTCAGAAGTATTTTCTTTATCTTTATTTGTTATGTTTCGGTGTGAATAATTAAACCGCTGTTTTTTTACAGCTAAATTGAGAAGAATGAGGTTCCTCATTTTGACATGTTTCAAATAATAACTGGAGACTGTGGTCTTTAGCGTCCTTGTTAGCACGCCCGCCTCCAATGCCGGTGACACTGGTTCGAGGGTGGTGCGAGTAAGACCAGTGACACATTACCTTTTTGGTCCTTTCAGGTCATGGTCCATTCTCTCATTTGTTTGATGGCATGTTCATTTCTGAGGTCCGGCCTGGTAAGTTTTCTCTCGTCAATCATTTTAATGTTTGTGCTGAGCTGTGTGTACAAGTAAGCAATAATTAATACTGATTTTTTTCATTGTTGAAGTTGCAAAAAGGTTTATACTGCACAAACTCCATTATTTCTACCATGATCTTCTTCCTCTTTCCCCTCACACAACATTAGGCCCCAATGCGGGCTGGACCGATGATATTATTCCATTTGCTGACGGTCTGGCTTGGGTCTTTTGTTTGTGACCAATATTTGTGACCAAAAAAAATAAAAAATACACACAGAGGGTTAGTTGCCTTCTGTCCAAAGTTTATAAACTATTTGTGAAGCTGCTACAGGGATTCTGTCACTACTTTGTCCCATCATATCTAGTGATAGCCAAAGTAAGTTTTTTTCTGATTGAGAGAAAACTCTCTGTAATTGTTATGGTTTTAGTTTAACCCATGGGCTATAGTAGCAGAAGGTTGTAGGCTCACAAGTCTCAGCAGAGCTACACACAGGGCTGTATGCTGTCTCCACTCATTAAAAAGTGAGAGTTGGTATTTTGAGTCTTTGGTTCCCCAGATTTATTGATATACATTTACAGATGTGGTTAGAGTAGCACAAGTGGTAGGCTGAGCCTCCCTGGGGGCTCGTAGTCAGGTGCGTGGTTAGGCTTCCTCTCACTCCAGAGAGTTATCCTTTAAGGCCTCAGCTCTCTAGAGTTTTGATAGAGTGACTATAGTTTAGCAAGTCCCACATGGATGTTGTAGGCCTCCTCTCATTAGAGAGCCATCATGCTGAGGCCTCCATCCGTTAGAGCTCTATGCAAACAGACTCGTCTTTGCAGGTAGAGTTTGAGAAAAGGCCTCTTTCAATAACAGAGAGTTGTTTTTTAGGCCCTTCACTCCCTGAGCTCAGAGTTGGGTATATCTAAACTTAGCTGTTTTCCACATGGATTCGTTGTGCAAAGACCACATCGGTGTGAGTGTGGCAGGCCTCATCTTCTTTGAGAGTAATCCTGCTGAGGCCTCCGCTCCACCTAGGCCTGTGGAGGTGCTATATGTCTCTGGGCTAGAGACTGTGGTCAGGTTCACTCTGGTGAGAGTGCTCATAGAGCTGAACGACATGCTTGCTGACACTGACATGCTCAGGTCGAACTAACGTTACTCCTCTCGTTCTTGAGAGTCATTTTGCAGAGTATGTTGCTCCCTAGAGCCCCTTTAACAAGCCCTAGATATCCTTGGATGCTAGCTCTGAACAGAAGAGCCTCCTGAAAATCGGGCTGCTCTAAAAACAGATGCCAGCACCTTCCCTGAAGAAGGCGGCTGGCTGCTAACTGTGTCGCCCTGGGCTAAGCTAGCTATGTCACCAGTGCTTTATGTCAGCATTCCGGTTCATGAACCTCCTTTCAGAGCTGTTAGCGCTTTTGTGAGTTGTTGGCCCTCTCTGGGCCTCCTGTACAGTAAGCGCCTCAGGTCAAGCGGGTGTAAAATCTTCTAACAACTTTGTGTTAAAAGCATCGTGTGGTGAGTTGTGTTATAAGCATCGTGTGGTGAGGCCCTGCAGGAGCCTCCATGATGTTGTTTCCATGAAACATAGATAGTACTCCCCTCGGATACGAGGGTATTTCTACAGAGAGCCCCGTTTCACAGATAGCCGCTTCCTCCCATCAGAAAGTCATCATGCTGAGGCCTCCATCCCCCAGAACTCTATGCAAACAGCCTCATCTTAGCATAAAGAAGAGGTCTCTCTCTCAATAATAGAGAGTTGGTTTTTAGTAGGGGTGTAAATCGGACAGTTCATCACGATAAGATATGATATCGATTCTCTCAGCCAGTGATATGATATTTGCCGATACCTCAAAAAATTCTACGATGCGATTACGAATCGATTCAGGGCTATATCGATTGATTTATCGATATTTAGATATTATGTGCCAAGTTTACACAACCAGTTACATTTTTATTGCCGTAAAACTTCAAATAATTGCCCAGGCTTTTATTTTCCCAAATCGCTGAACTGCATCGGCTTGTATTTGAGACAGGCGTCTATATGAGACAGGCCTTTAATTTAGTGTTGAGATGTTGTTCATTAAGTGTAGGCCTAGAGATAACGATCCAAATAGCATAGGCTGATAGACGGAAAGCATGACAGTCGGAGGTTACCACATTATATTATGTTTAATTTATAATTCAAATGTGTTTAACAAATCAGTTAATGTAAGAATTAGCCTACTATATTACCGTATGTCTAAAGGGGGTTCGCATACCGGACGACACACAGCGAACCGCAGCGACGGCAGCGGCTCAGGACCTTGTTCAAAATCCTGCCGCGCCACAGAGCGCCATTTACATAGTTTTATATTAAATTTACATTTATTTGTCTCAAATCGTCGTTATGTATATACTGACTTCACCCTGTGCTGCAATATACATTTAGTTTTACATTCATTTACAGAAATCAGCTGCTTGAATGAAAATTGCTGATGTCGGATTTTCAGGTGATATTCTCAATTCATTTAGTTCAGGGGCTCCAGTGTGTCATGTAGGGGCGTGTCCAGGAGCTCAGGGGCTCCAGAGCGTCATCAAGTAGGGCCGGGACAAGGAGTTCAGGGGCTCCAGTGTGTCAAGTAGGGGCGTGTCCAGGACCTCAGGGGCTCCAGTGCGTCATCAAGTAAGCGCGTGTCCAGGAGCTCAGGGGCTCCAGTGCGTCATCAAGTAGGGGCGTGTCCAGGAGCTCAGGGGCTCTAGTGCGTCATCAATTAAGGGCGTGTCCAGGAGCTCAGTGGCTCCAGTGCGTCATCAAGTAAGGGGCGTTTTGAGGAGCTCAGGGGCTCCAGTGCGTCATCAAGTAGGGGCATGTCCAGGAGCTCAGGGGCTCCAGTGCGTCATCAATTAAGGGCGTTTTGAGGAGCTCAGGGGCTCCAGTGCGTCATCGAGTAGGGGCATGTCCAGGAGCTCAGGGGCTCTAGTGCGTCATCAATTAAGGGCGTGTCCAGGAGCTCAGTGGCTCCAGTGCGTCATCAAGTAAGGGCGTTTTGAGGAGCTCAGTAGCTCCAGTGCATCATCAAGTAAGGGCGTGTCCAGGAGCTCAGGGGCTCCAGTGCATCATCAAGTAAGGGCGTGTCCAGGAGCTCAGGGGCTCCAGTGCATCATCAAGTAAGGGCGTGTCGAGGAGCTCAGGGGCTCCAGTGCGTCATCAAGTAGGGGCATGTCCAGAAGCTCAGGGGCTCTAGTGCGTCATCAATTAAGGGCGTGTCCAGGAGCTCAGTGGCTCCAGTGCGTCATCAAGTAGGGGCGTGTCCAGGAGCTCAGTGGCTCCAGTGCATCATCAAGTAAGGGCGTGTCCAGGAGCTCAGGGGCCCCAGTGCATCATCAAGTAAGGGCGTGTCCAGGAGCTCAGGGGCTCCAGTGCGTCATCAAGTAAGGGCGTGTCGAGGAGCTCAGGGGCTCCAGTGCGTCATCAAGTAGGGGCATGTCCAGGAGCTCAGGGGCTCTAGTGCGTCATCAATTAAGGGCGTGTCCAGGAGCTCAGTGGCTCCAGTGCGTCATCAAGTAAGGGCGTGTCCAGGAGCTCAGTGGCTTCAGTGCATCATCAAGTAAGGGCGAGTCGAGGAGCTCAGTGGCTCCAGTGCGTCACCAAGTAGGGGCGTGTCCAGGAGCTCAGTGGCTCCAGTGCGTCATCAAGTAAGGGCGTGTCCAGGAGCTCAGGGGCTCCAGTGCGTCATCAAGTAAGGGCGTGTCCAGGAGCTCAGGGGCTCCAGTGCGTCATTAAGTAAGGGCGTGTCGAGGAGCTCAGGGGCTCCAGTGCGTCATCAAGTAGGGGCATGTCCAGGAGCTCAGGGGCTCTAGTGCGTCATCAATTAAGGGCGTGTCCAGGAGCTCAGTGGCTCCAGTGCGTCATCAAGTAAGGGCGTGTCCAGGAGCTCAGTGGCTTCAGTGCGTCATCAAGTAGGGTCGTGTCCAGGAGCTCAGGGGCACCAGTGCTTCATCAAGTAGGGGCGTGTCCAGGAGCTCAGGGGCTCCAGTGCGTCATCAAGTAGGGGGGTGTCCAGGAGCTCAGTGGCTCCAGTGCATCATCAATTAAGGGCGTGTCCAGAAGCTCAGGGGCTCCAGTGCTTCATCAAGTAGGGGCATGTCCAGGAGCTCAGGGTCTCCAGTGCCTCATCAAGTAGGGGCGTGTCCAGGAGCTCAGGGGCTCCAGTGTGTCAAGTAGGGGCGTGTCCAGGAGCTTAGGGGCTCCAGTGCGACATCAAGTAGGGGCGTGTCCAGGAGCTCAGTGGCTCCAGTGCGTCATCAATTAAGGGCGTGTTCAGGAGCTCAGGGGCTCCAGTGCGACATCAAGTAGGGGCATGTCCAGGAGCTCAGGGGCTCCAGTGCGACATCAAGTTGGGGCGTGTCCAGGAGCTCTGGGGCTCCAGTGCATCATCAAGTAGGGGCGTGTCCAGGAGCTCAGGGGCTCCAGTGCGTCATCAAGTAGGGTTGTGTCCAGGAGCTCAGGGGCTCCAGTGCGTCATCAATTAAGGGCGTGTCCAGGAGCTCAGGGGCTCCAGTGCGACATCAAGTTGGGGCGTGTCCAGGAGCTCTGGGGCTCCAGTGCGTCATCAAGTAGGGGCGTGTCCAGGAGCTCAGGGGCTCCAGTGCGTCATCAAGTAAGGGCGTGTCCAGGAGCTCTGGGGCTCCAGTGCGTCATCAATTAAGGGCGTGTCCAGGAGCTCAGGGGCTCCAGTGCGTCATCAAGTAAGGGCTTGTCGAGGAGCTCAGGGGCTCCAGTGCGTCATCAAGTAGGGGCATGTCCAGGAGCTCAGGGGCTCTAGTGCGTCATCAATTAAGGGCGTGTCCAGGAGCTCAGTGGCTCCAGTGCGTCATTAAGTAAGGGCGTGTCCAGGAGCTCAGTGGCTTCAGTGCGTCATCAAGTAGGGTCGTGTCCAGGAGCTCAGTGGCTTCAGTGCGTCATCAAGTAGGGGCATGTCCAGGAGCTCAGGGGCACCAGTGCGTCATCAAGTAGGGGGGTGTCCAGGAG